TTTTACAAGAGGATTTTTTGGAGGGGATTGTTTTAATTCTTTAGTCTTTTGGTTTAATAAGTGCAGTCGAACTAACATTCACCGAGCTATCTGGACTCTTCAGATTTCAACCCAATACTTTTCCCCGAACAGAAACTGTCTTCAGCAAACCAGCAGCGAATGGGAGCAGGTGATAAGGTTGTTCCATCTAAGCACAAGTGCAGACTTCCCTCATCCCGGCCTCCTCTTCTAATCCTCTAGCAAATCCTGGGTTGTCCTCCAGGGTCCTCTCCCAGTACGACATGCCCGAAACACCTCACGATGAGGCATTCAGGCATCGGGCTCTATTCCCTCTTGAATGCCCAGCTCCTCACCTCATCTCTAAGGGAGAGTTCAGCCACCCTTCAAACTAAACTCATTTCCCCTGCTTGCATCTGCAACCCCATTTTTCAGTCATCACCCAGAGCTCATGATGGTAGGTGATGGTAGTGATCTCGTTTTAGGAGCCACAGAAATACTGTTTGTTTGTTTTTTACTTACTGCATAAAAGCTATAACCACGAATAATTTCAGAGTAAACAAAACTACAAATCTAGACTTTAAACTGGTCTCTGGATGCCTCCTTTCAGACACATTTCAATAAGTACCACTGAAGTGTTATGGTTGGTGCTGAGGCTTCACGTACGTGAACAGTAGTGGGCATTTGGAAGTCTTCTTGCTGCTGCAGTTCTAAATGCAGCCTGTGCTTCCCCTGCAGACTCTCGTTATCTCTCTGTAGTCGACTTAGCTCATCTGCCACCTGCTCCCTGGACTTCAGCAGCACCGCCTGAAACAAACAAGCACAAAGAATAAATCATCTCGTCATGTGTCACTTTTTTTTTTTTTTTTTTGGCGCCTCCTGCCATATGAAACCATCAGCCCGTAAACACATGTGAAGAGTGACTCACAGGCCAGTGTCTGCTTTTAGAGCCACCTCCACCTGAATCTCCCTGCAGAGCTAATATTCAGCTAGGTGTAGCTCTATAAATTAATTTATGACGCTAAGACTTCTGCACATCAAAGCCACCAGAAGCAAAGGGGATGCCTCTCATCAGTCGAAGACAAGACTGTTTGCAAAGTCTTTCAAGTTACTTTGATGCCTGTGCTGATGCGGCTTGCAGAGGCACATTCATTATTGAGAGTGCTTCATGTTTCAGGTGCTTCCTGCTTTTCCTTTTGGACAATGAGCTCGGAGAAGAAATGTACCTTGTTTAGAAATGCACTTCACATATTGACACAGAGATTTTTTGCAAAACCTCTGTACATGAGCTGATATGTAGATTCGGACAGATGTATTTAAATTTCCTTTATAGAAGACTAAATAACTGCTTCTCAACTGCAAATACGGAGGTAGGGACGACAACTGATGTTACATGTTTATTCAAATTTACTTACAAAAAAAAAAAAAAAAAGCAATCGGGCTGATTTAATGACTTTTCAGGGTTTCCACTTGTGAATATAATGCTCCAATATGTGGATTGGATATGCGTCTGATCCCGACCTAGAAATCATTGACCGTGAGCTAACAGAGCAGAGAGCTAACAACAACTAGACATCAGTGTGGAGATATTTTACACCTGCTACACTTTTTCTTTGTATGTTTTTTTTAAATTAACTGCAAACTGTGGTCAAAGTGAATCAACGTGAGTGACAGGCTCGGATGAGACAATGCTTTCTCTCACACTCTCATCACGTTCATGTAACACTTGCAGGAAGCTTTTAGAGCGCTGACAGTAACATAACATGCTGTCAGCACCTCGCACAATATTTCACTTTACTTTCTTGTGTCTCTTGTCATCTCCGTTCCACACACGGTGCGTTTATGAGGGCAATGAAAGAAGAAACCAACAAGACTGTAATTAACATCCGGATTCAGTTCATTAAAAGATATTATACTAAGAAATACCAGTTTGATAAAATGGATTTAGTTATTTGTGAGCAGGGACGCACTGATTCAATTTTATCTGCTGACATGGACTCAGTCAGTCTTAATGTTTAAAGCGACACCAGTCTGAGACTCAGCAATTCTTTATAAAATAAAATCAACCATAAATACATCAAATAATGTAAATTTATTGAGTTGGGTTTTATTAGAGAGAATAAAGTGCAGTAATAAATGACAACAGGCTCAGGATCATCATAATTCACTGGTTATTGTAAGGTGGGAAATGCAGAGAGACAGTGGTAAGGCTTTTTGTCACTGGTTGGCTGTATTTGCAACAATGAATTCTATCTTGAGCACAGTTTGGGTGATCAAGGTCTCTAAAATCTGATCGATGCTGTAGGAGGAGCAGCGACTCTTGTGAACTGTGGAGGGTCAGATGGATGCTTTTGCCACAGTACAAGCTCATTACGCTCGTTACGCTTTGCAAGTGCTAATTTCACCGGGATTCTCCACACTGCTGTTATTTACAGTCACACCAGCGTCTCAGTTTCCTGCACATCCTCACACACACACGCCGGCACGTGGAGCTGACAGAGAGAGCAGAAATTAAATCATGTTAATCAAGACAACGACAACATGTTTGTTACCTAAGTGTCGTAAAAGCTTCCCAGCAAGCAATACACAGAACCAATGTAACCAGAAAGGAAAAAGCGTAATTGTTTTCAGTCTTTTCAGTCTTATGAGTTCACTGTGACAGTTTGCAGTAAAGTAAAAAAAAATGCTGCAAATACACAAATAAAAGCTGCTGGTGCAGCGGATGTGAAATACAAGCAAACTGTTGCTGCTTGCGGCAGATTGTCACCTATATCTGATCCAACCTTTTGGATGTCACGTTCAAATGAACACGTCACGCTCAATTGTGACCAATTAACACCTTGAATACATAATATTCATGTGCTGACATTTCTTAATCATTCAAGATTAAACTGGTTATTAAATAAACCATCGGGTAGTTAACTGGTTAGTTTAACTGATAAATGTTGTGCTGTACTTCAAAAACACTAAAAGATTTTATATTTGTGTGTTTTTAAATGTTTTAAATCAAATATTTTGGGGCTTAGCACTGTTTTTGATTGGGCAAATATTGGGTCTTCTTAGGATTCAGTGCTGACTTAACACTCTTTAATTTTACTTAGTAATGTAAATAACATTTTCTTCAGCTGTGCACTTTTGCTGCAGACAGGAGCAACTTTTTGACACTGAAGCAAAATATTCTTTAGCCACAAGCTCTGTCACATCAGCAAATATTTGTAGTCGGGGAGGAACAGTGAAGTTACTTCTGTAGAGGCAGAAAAATGCAAATCCAATCATTAGTGCCTCTGAGGTGCAATACAGTCTGGCAACACGTCGAATAAGTGACCGAGAGTCTGTTATCTGAGCATTTATTTGAATATGTGCAGACTTGCCAGAGCTGATATTAAGATCCACACACAGCTGGCAGGAACAGGCGATACAGAGCTCACAAATGAATATGCTGCTCACCATCTGTTCCTGCGTGTTCCTCTTAGCGTCACTGAAGGCTTGCTGTAGTGTGCTGAGCAGTGTTTCTGATTCCTGGACTCTCTGCATGAGGCCAGATACCTACAACACACATGCACAAAAAAACAACAACCCATCAATAAGACAAAAGCAAGCAGGCCACAGTTACACAGACATGCAATAGTTCTGCACAGGGCACAAATTACTTGAAATAGTGAGATCATAGGTTCAGGAACTAGTACACTAGTTCGAGCCAGCTGTGGGCAGTGCTGCACTAAATTAACTTCTGGTTTGAGAAGTGACAAAATGCATTCACACACTTTATTATTTTTAAGTTTGTGGTCAATGTGACACGTTCTGCAACAAGAAAATAATGAGGCTCATGTTGGGGCAACACAGAAGCAACATGCCGCTCTCAGGTACGCTGCAGGATGGCTGCACAAATGCAATCAGATCTCAAAGAACAAAGAAAAAAATTATATTTCTCCATTACTTTCTGCAAAAGAACTGCCTTTCCTACAAACTGCATTTTTTTTTAGAAGTAAACCCAATAAAACACCTTCATACTGAAGGCAAACAGTGCATTTTCATGACTCTCGGAAAAGTGCATATGAGCGTGCAGAGAGCATGACTGCACAGTTTGTTGAAATGATTTGCTGGAGGCTTGAGCTGCACCCTGGGGTGTGCAGAGCAGCAGCGTTAGATAAGAAAGAATCCATTATCACACATCATCTGTGGGCAAGTTAGCAACAACAGTGTGTTCGAGGATATTAACAACGAAGGGCGATCACATCCGCTTCACTCAACAGTTAAAAGCTTCCCTTTTCTCATTTGGGCAGAGACAGTTAAGTAATGAAGCAGATTCTGGGAAAGCTTTTCTACATTACCGCTCTCATGTTTTCTTAAAGTGCGAGAATATTTGTCTGAACCAGTGACATCTAGTGATGTGTAAACGTTTTGGACATACTGGATGCTGCATTTCTACGGAGCTTAACTGGTAACACGGGTGGAAAATCTCAGTGTAGAAATGAGTTCAGTCGAAGTGTTTGTGAGGCCATAATATGCAGAATATCTGCAGGGCTGTTATTACTCATTAGGCAGGGATGAAATTTGGAAAATGTGCCGTGGAAGCTTTGACCCAAACAGATCTCGTTCACAGTGACGCTGCAGTTTTAAGTAAACAAAGGAAATACACTTAATATAACAAGTGTTAAGTCATATCTATCACTTATTTAATTCAAATGTGTGCAAACGCCTCTTTACATGTATGCAGACATAGTTCGATGCAGAGGCTACCCAATCATGTGATCAGTGATGATTCTCAGGCAGAATAGGGAAAAGGATGAGTGGTTGCTTTAACTGGAGGAGTTTAAGTATCTCCCAGGGTGTTCCTCACAAGTGAGGGAGGGATGGAGCAGGTAAGCAGCAGACTGATGGGTGTAGCATTGATGAAGATGTGTTGTGGTGAAGAGAGAGCAGAATAAAGGCGAAGATGTCAGTTGATTCAGTTACACCTGTAGCCACAAGCAATGGATACTGAAGGAATCAGATAGTGGCTGGGCTCTCGCTTACTGAGAGGGGCAAAAAAAAGGCCAGTAACCACTCGGTAATTAATATATAATGCAACAGCACAAGCATAAACGCCGGTTACAATGTTGGCCGCTTACGTTGGTTACATCGTAGGCTCTACAAAGACAACCCAGAGTTTGTTTAATATACAGCAACATGAGGCGACTATTAGCAGAAAAAAATTAGTCAATCACTGACCGAACGAGGTGTTCCTCCGGGCTCAATAGATTCATACCAAAAATTTCCCCTATAATTGTAATGTCTGTTAAATTACCCAAGAAAATTCTACAGAGAGCAATAAGTGTTGAGAGATGTAATAACATTACACTGCCACCTGTAAACCACCACCTCAGTGTTGTAAAATCAAAGATGCAGTTGTGCTTCTTCTCGTCATCGCACTCACAGGATTGAATAAAGAGGCTAAAAGCTTCAGGCTCACAACTGCTGGTCATGCTGCTGTTGCCCTGGCAACAGATGAGAGAGCTGATGGGACTGGGCATATAGAAATACAGATGTATACGATTTATTTGGTCAACGGGGCGTCTACAGGTATACAGAAGTTAAATTTAGGACTTTTTTGGATCTTGTACATGAACAGACAAACATGTATGACGCTGAGTTTCTGTGGATCTGTGAACTACAGCGACAGCAACAGTGAGTATGGGTGCCCTGGATTGAGCAGGTGCACGGTGCTAAACTGTTAAAAATTGTGTTTCACAGTTTCATTGCCAGTTATCTCTCCTCCCGCTGTGGCAAGTCATCCAAACATCAAAGCAGTGCTGATGCAAAGCTGCACCACCTGCACACAGATGGTGCCCATTTTATCACACAGGATGTTAGCACCTTCACATGTATCAACACATTACTGTTCGGAAGTACTAAACTTCCTTTCCACTGAGCCAATGCACTACACTGAGGAAGACGGCCTTAATAATTATACAGTAACAACATTTTTGGTGGTGACACTAAATAATTTGAATAACTAGCTTGTTATTCACCAGTTGCCTTGTTCAAAGTAGACCTTTCATCTTTCTTATAATAATCACCTAAATCGGGGTCACTAGTTTTTAATTACTTCGGCGAGTTCCTGTTTCCAAAAGTTGCTTTCTGAAGATATTATTAACTTATATTAATACGTATTTATTGAGTAGATCCATAATTTTAATTGAATAATTTGCTTTACTTTTTATACATTTTCTTTCTCCCACTATTCTGAGCGGTAGCCTGTAACCTCTGAATAGAGCCCTTTGCTCTCACATTGCAGGTTTACTTGTGGTTCCAATGGTGTTTACCTTATAATAAAAAGTGTCTAAAAGTGACTGCTGTTGTGATTTGATCTTACTGAATACTTCCTGAGTTGCTCCGGAGGAGATATCGGGGAAAAGCCAAGAGTAGGAGATAAGAAGATAAACTGTTCCGGCCATTGTTAGCTGAGAAAATGGGTCCTTTTACAGTAAGATGTTCTTTCATGGAGATGTTGCTAAGCTCACACTTCCTGGACAAACATGTGACTGTACCTGGCTTCGGGGCTTTTTTCGGGTGGACAGCGATGTTAATTTGAGCGATGAAGCAGTCGTCATCTGTGGCTATGGTGAAAGCCTGTGGATAATGAGTGGATCTGACAACCCTCTGCACAACTTACTGGACGTGCAGCAGAGCACACAACGCTCTCTTCTCTTTCCCCTCACCCCTCTAGATGGCTACCCTTCCTTGAGCGTGCGTCGTGTGATCTTTGACGTCTCAAAAAGACAAAAAAACGAAACAAACAGCAGCTACGTGTACGCTGAGTGCTGATTGGCTGAAAAGTTGGTTTGAACAGGAAAGAGATTAAAAGTGTTGTTCACCACAAAGAGGAGGAAGTGTGGAAAAACCCCACCAATAATCTCAGACAGAAGGTGCAGTGGGAAGTTTTTGCTAGAAAGAAATTCTTAATCTAAAGTTATGTTTTTGGCACTGCCTCCAGCTGACCTCACACAGCCACCACATGTAGACGTGTGTTTACAAAGCTCGGCAAAGCACCAGTGCCATGCTGGGACCACTAAACTGAAGAACTTGCTTGAGCTGTTTTAGATTTTTCTTGAGTATGACAGCTGGGATAGCCTCCATCTCTGCTCCGTTGGCTTTGTCTGTGAGAAATAATCCGCCAGACCTCACACCAAATTTAACCAACGAATGAACAAACATAGCTAAAAGCAAGTCAAATAAATCCCATTAGACTCCAAACGAATGATTTTTCTACAGTAATTATTCTAATGCCATCAACTCTGACTTGAGTATGACACACTGGAATAAAAAGTGGGGGTTTAAAGTCTTTAAATCCACACGGACATCAGAACCAAGAGAACACATGGTCCTGACCTTAGCAGCGGTTTCCTCGTTTCCTGCTTTGACTGAATCTTCCAAATTCTGCTTCTCAGTCATCGTCCTCTCCAGCTGATCGTTGGCCTGACGTAGCATCACCTGCAGCTTCTTCACCTGTAGGACAGTAAGAATTGAGAACCCCTCTGATGAACATTGCAAGTCAAACCTTAAATATCTGCTTGATGTGATTAAAAAGTAATGGCATGAAAAAGAAAAACCCGAACCTGATCTCTCGTCTCAGCCTCCTGTCCTTGGATGGCCTGAAGCTGCTTCTCATAGTTTGAGCACATGTCGCACCTTCGTCCGAGCTTCCTGCCAGCATTTTTCAACTGGCGACAGATAAACAAGAAACCCATGTAATAAAAACTACTTAATACTCAATAACGATGCTCAGCTCTAGGATGTAACAAATTAAGACTTTGTTATGACTGAAAACATGAAAAAATGAGTCTTGCAGATTTCACAGAGGGAAAGCGCTAAGTGGAGAAGGCTGATCTCCTGATATCCGTCAGGATGCTTCAGTCGGAAGCTGTTTTCAGCTACTCCCTTATTCACGAGGGGTTGCTTCACGGCTGGTAGCTTTCATGTATGACTTGGCAGATTTTTACACCACATGGCCTTCAATGCCGAAAGGGATCTGCCAGGGATCTTTGACTCGTTAGGCGACTGTGTAAACGACTGCACTATTGAGCCACAACAGACTAAAAAAATTAATTAAGACCATTAAAAATATATCAAGCAGGTGACATGGCCACACTACTCATCTGATATTTGCTGTTCTTGTTTTATTACTACATTTAGTCAGCCATGTTCACTGTGTTCATTATCACCATCATTTTACTTTAGGCCACGTTAAGCTTTCCCAACTTTGGGGAAAAATTTGAAGAAAAAGGAGGAAAATGTGTTTTCTTTTCTAAATGCTGGTAAATAAAAATGAGAAACACTTAAAATTGCACTACAACGTGCATATGCTGCTCTAATGTCGAGGTACAAAGAAGAACTAGTCAGGAAGTAAAGATCCTAAAGCGAAGTAAAAACCTTATGCGCTGTAAAAATGTTACGTCCAGTCATAACCATTAAACCCTTTGAACCACCTTTGACCCCTGCAGCGCTCAGACCATTAAAGCTGTTGTAAAGCCTTGGTGAAGCACCTCTTGCTGTAGCAGGTTCCACTCGCTGTCACTGACGAGCCGGTAGCCGGCAGGCGGTAAGTAAGCGGTGTCTGGGGCGTGAGAGATGCTGGACAGCAGCGACGCCGTCTCCTCCTGCTCCGGGGTCATGGCTTTGATCGCCTTCTCCTGGTCTTTAGTCAGCAGGAAGTGACTTGTCGGCAGCTTGATTGAGCTGATTGAAGCAGTGTCTCCAAAACTACTGTCTGTCACCCCGCTGTCGGCCCCAACCAAGGGCCCAAAGTCCGACTCGTCTAAGTGGCCTGCTGATTTGGCCTTGTGGTTCTGGCCGCCAAGACCCTGCTGGATGGACAGCGAGGAACCGAGGCTGTCTGTGGACTGAACTCGCCGCAGGTTGTCCTTGTAAGGGTCCATGGGGCTGCCCGTCACCACATCAGTGTCTAAGGAGTGCATAGAGCCGTGGGCGCTGTGGTTCACATGGGGCTGGAGGAAAAAGC